ATAAAAGAACTGGCATCCCCACCCCGTCCTCCTATAAAGCGTCATTCACATGCAAAACTAAATAAATCCACGTTGAACTACGCGTCGCTGAATCCGCAGAACCTACGCATACCACAGAAGCTGGGCTATTATTGCCCACGCACAATGCTCAATACAACACACCGGATCTATTTTTCAAAACAAGCGACGCGATCCATTTACTAGCTTAATTATGACGTATTTGGTAAATGTGCCTCATTAAAAATGCGCCGTAATTTCCGTGCTGAATATACGTGTAAAACGTTTTCACTGCGTGGTGCGTGCCGCTCATTTGCGTTGCACTCAACTTGAATAAGCAATGCGACGAGCAGGGTGCTCTTCATCCGGTATGTTGCGGTCTAATTACATTTTAACTTTATCGGCTCGCCTTTGATACTGGATGGATTACAGTTCATTTCATTGCTGTCAACGATACTCAATGACATTCACAGGAGCAACGCTCACTGCCACACTCCAAACGTGTACGCTCGGTGATCGCGCCTCCAAGGCTAGGTCATGCCATTGCACATAATATAAGATTTACCGAAGTATCGTGGGCCATCCGTGGTGTCGATGTTTGTCCGCCCTTCTTCCACCCCTCGGTACCAGGGTATGATTACTGGTCACTAGATATGGAATTTATGGTGGGGAAAATGGGTCCGCAGCAAATTTTCTCGGGGTTCTCTCATTTCTCTGCGACACAGGAAACGTATTATTCCACAATTATTGTAAAAATGAAAAACAAATTTCTTATTCATAGCGGCCAAACATTACGTCTCCATTCGAAAATAAGCATATAAAGAATAATAAGTCTAACGGATTTCACATAATCGTGAATACATTTTTTTCGTTTGTCTTAACACGCAGTACTGTTTATTAAATCAGGTTTATTAAAGACAAAACTCCAGTGAATTTCCTCTATCTGCTGGCCATACAATGTTCATCTAATGTGTAAAACAATGTGCATATAAATAGGATTTCTAAGCCAATTTCATTGGAAGGGCGCATTATATAATCGCTACATGTTTTGGATTATTAAAGCAATCATAACAAGCGTATGTACGTCACGTAACAGAATCCTACAATTCATACGCCAGCGGAATAAGTAATGGCCAAGAAAGGCTGCACATGCGCGGTTTTCCCTTTGAAGAACGACCTCACATTGCTTGACCTGGCCTTGAAACCGCTGGGAAGTGCAATGCAATGGTTCCTAGAAAAGAAAAAGAAAAAAAAAAGAGGCGTGCGGTGGATGGAAGAGCCAATCATCCCGGATATTTAAAGTAATCACATGAGAGCGGTATTCCTTCGTTTACAGCCAAGACTGAAAAGAATCGGAGACCTTTCTAAACGAAATCCTTTAAGCTCGCAAAGTACCGTTCAAATTGTGTTTCGAAAGATTTTCAACTGTGAAACTTCTACTGTAAGTCATTGAAAACTGTCAGAACGGAATAAATGTAGACGCTGAGATTGCACACTTAAAGCAAGATTTCTTTCCTCAATGATGTAATCTGATTTGTTAGAAAGATCAGTTTTCAAAACTACCAATTCCTGCTGCCGGATGACAGAATTATCCTCCAGATAGCCGATGAATTCTACCTAGCTATGAAGCTAAAATCCTGCCAGTCGGGACTCGAACCTCAGGACCTCCCAATCAGAGGTCACAGCAAAGATACCAGTTGATCCCCTGAGCCACCGAAGTCGTTAGCTCTCGAGTAATACGTTCAACTTACTTTTTCTTTTGAGATAATTGTCAAATTTCTGACCCTCATAACAGATGAGTTCCTAAAATATGTTAAGATCATATGACGATGTTTTTTGTTTTCGTTTTTTTAAATTTTTTTAAAACTTTTGAGCGAAAATCTTAACCGGGAAAATTTAATCCTAATATTTAATTTATCTTCCCATTTGGATTACATTGCAAGATCCATTATCCTAGTTCAATTATCAATTAATACCTTACAAACTATTTTAAGTTTTCCTAGTCAAAGAGGTCTAAAGCAAGTCTAAATCTCCAGATTGCGAGCAAAGAAACATAACTATTCAGTTCAATGACTTCTGTGCACTATCATTAAGTTTATTTGCTGGCAACAGCATTACTTTCGTGAAATTCTTCTGTGTTAAGAGAACAATTTTACAATCTTCACTTTCATATCTACACTTTTCGGGTCGTTTTTAGTATTTAGATTTATAGCTCTATTAAAAACGAATTTAGAGTTTTGGAAAATATAAATTTATTTGGAGAACTACAAAAGTAAACAGGTCTGTTCGTACGCGGGAACGGCAAGGTAAGGTTAGAGCCGAGTAGGCAATGCTTAGCGTTAAAACACAGGTTAGTGCTGCGGGTTGCGTTTCTTCGTACTTGTAAGGTACAGAGATCGAGAAATTCAGGAGGTATTCCACTACGTTTACTGAAATACTCATGTTCCTTGCATTAAGAATTAGTAAATTCTGATTCGCTACCAGAGTAAATGTGTATATTTTTATATTTTTTTTTGGTAAATTTGTATTCAGACATTTTGTTTTGAAGTTCGTGCACTGGTTTTGAGAACAAAAACGTCTGTAAAATATTCAGATATGACTGTGACTACGGGGTAGATTTTGATGACCTTAAACATCGCCACAAATGATCAAAAAAAGTTCTTAAAATGTTCTAAAAGCAAAGAAAAATTAAGCAGAAAATGTGATCAAAACTAGTTCGGATGAACAACTCAGGCTGTTGGACACATTACTGATGTTATCGAGGTTGATTCTATTCGTTCAAGTGAACTCAGCATTCGAACTTTTGGTTTGAACGGTTCTTTACCAGGAAATCTGTCTTAGTTGTGCAGAAATCTGCCGAACAGACAATGGCGCTGATAGACGTCACAGGAACTTTACATTACATACTCACAAGGCTGACATTACAATTTCTGAACGAAGAAATCGAATATACAAATTAGGAATTCTATGGAGAACATTGTTGCATCTCGTAAATATTATTTGAAGCAAGTACCATTCAAATGATTTTAAGTCTATGAAATCAGCGTAAAATGCATCGAAAATGACGGGGAAAGTTAAAAAATGACTTATTAGACGACATCAACGGAAAATGCTAAACAATGACATAAAAATGGGCAATTTTCTTTAGTCATAACATAAAATTAATTTCTATACAAAACTGCACTGTTCTAAAGTTAAAAGAAACAATTGGAATTTCATTAAAATCCACTTACTAAAAATTGACTAATTATTACCTGAAATCACTCCTAACTTTTCTCAATCAATTCTTAAATTTGTTTCTCTAAATACCACACGTGCTGATTCATCAATGAATGCTCTTCTATTTAATACAATACTTCTAACAAATTCTAAGGGTTGTTACTTCTAACTATTTTGTGTTTTCTAGTAGCTAATTATACTTATTTTCTAATTCACTTAATAAAAAAATACCATAGAAACTACTAAGCAACAAGTACCCTGTTCAACTCAGAGAGATCTCAACACTTTGTTTTGCACCCACTTAGGGGGGGGGGGACTCTGCAAACAAACTGGAAAAGGAAGTTCTCTAAAATTCCACTTCAGAGTTGTTCTCTCCCTCCCAGCGCAAATATCCCAATACCAAGCACACAAATACTACTCTAAGAAGATCCTCTTCAAACTTGTAATTATCTACTACAACATTAAGTGAATAGACTCAAGGGCATCTTAATTCTGGACCACAATTTGTCTCACACAATTAAAAAGAAGTTACTCATTTTACTTGACTTCTAGGCACAGTATACGAATAGTATTGAAAATGTCAAAAGCTTCTAGTAAAGTAGGCACCCACAAAAATTAAAAGTATCTTCATGATCTGCATAATTGAACAATTACTTGTGTCTTACTTCTGATCTATTGACCAACTTTCAACTAATCTAACAGTTTGCTTAACACACCCAACCATCAATAAATATAAATACATTTTCGGGTAGAAAATTCAATGTATCTCCCTCTATCTGATCCAATCTCAACCATCTTTGGAACAGCACTAATAGACCTTAATCCTGATGTGGGTACAACGTTACAGTGATAAAAAAAACTCAATTATGGATTATATTTAACAATACTCGAGATCATATTGTTGAGACGATTCCAGTGCAGGGGCAAAAAGTAAAAATCAGCCCTCGATGGGGTCAGTATAAAATATCAGGGGCAAGATTAGTCTCATCATCACGCAGGACTGATATTGTTTTGCACTTCAAAATTCCTACATACACAGAAATTAACTATAGTTGTTGAGCTTTGTTAACATTGGAAGTTACATGCCATCAACAGCAGAGTGACAATGACAGAAGTCTTTGTGATGGAGCTCACCTTGCCCTGAAACCTATATGAAATAAATAACTTTTAATTGTAGAAAAATTGTAATTAATTGTCTATAAACTAAGGAACCCCAAAATTCTACCAGATAAGTGTTTAAACGAGATCCTATCAATTTAAAAAAATACAGTTTTTGCTCATTCTTCTAATTTTTAAACGATTAAAAGCAGTGAAACGCATGTACACATCTCATGAATTTTGCCGAAAATTCTCAGAGCAGTATAAAAAGTTAGAAAAAGAGATTTCCCAAGTGCCAGTCATGGAATATTGTTGGAATGACTTCTGACGACATAAATAAAGAGTTTTTCTGGCACCTATAGTGATTCCATGTCCAGACCGTTGCAGGCACCAGTTCATATTTGAGTCGGCGTGATCTAAATAACTACGCAAGGCGCTTGTCCCTGTTATCACACGTTTCTCGGAACGGATGAATGCAGACGGTAAAGTAGTTATGGGCCTTATTCGCACAGCCAGTGCCAGTTCTCGAAAAGACGCCGATATTACTCAAAATTTCCATAATGGCAATTTCGTAGTCTGCCGCGAAAAGTGCAAGGGGGCCCATTTCGAATGTCTAACAATTCTATATTTAGCTTTTCAACTTACGAGTAAATATAGCATAAAGAAAGAATTTAAAAACAGTTAAGTGGGCCGAAACCGACGGCAGCATTTCCCAGCGGCACCGAAGCGCTCGTTCCGAAATGAAGCGGCGGGCCGAGCCGGGCCAGGCTCTTACCTTGAGGATGTGCTGCACGGCGCGCACGAAGGCCGGGCCGTCGGGCGGCGTCTCGGCCAGCAGCTTGTACACCAGCTGCGTGGTGTCGCGCACCCACTCCGCCTGCTCGGGCTTCAGCTCGTGGCTCTCCCTGCAACAGGCCAATGCCACCCACCCGTCTCAGCTCGCAGCCTCGGCAGTAGAGAGATGTTACTATAAGAAGGGACCGATTTGACAGGCGGGAAACACATGATGCGATTGCAAGCGATAGAGATGAAGTCATTTACAAATAAACCAACTGTAAGCGAACGCACTGACAAAATGCGTGCATGGACCTAAAAGCTGCAATTATTTTTTGTTTTGACAGCAGCTGCTTGGCCACTGCTGGCATTATAACTGCAAGTTAAGCTAATGCAATCATTTTGCCAGTGCGTTGTTTACAGTTAGCTCAGTTGTAGATTTAAAAATTCGAATATCTTACAGTAATTCTTCAGAACGATTGCGTGAACCTTCCAATTAAATACTTCGATTTCGCAACTTTCATACCTCAAAATAAAAGTGATGTTTCTTTCAATTAACGTCCAAAAAGAACGGCTAGGACGAAATTAATTCCCAATGCTTCAGGGTGAAAGTCTGGAGGTTTCTAACCTTTCACGAACTTCAAGGTCGAGGACTATTGAGTTTTGGATTAAAATGAAAAGCGACGCGAAAGCTAGGCGGGTTCTAATTTTGTGAATGAGATATTCACTGCGCCAATAGGTTCTGCCTGTTACCCCTCTCAGCCCCCTCGCCATCTGAGGGAACGCAATCCCGTTTGCATACAACCCTCCTGCCTTCCACCTAAATCGCCCACTCCCGTGTTTACCGTAACGAGAGCGCACAACGGCGCGTAAAAGCTTGGGCGATTGTGCCGCTTGTTATTCAAAAGCAGGCCGATAACACGGCATGGGCGTGCTCACAGTATAGAGAGAGAATATACAGAGTGTGCTTCACGCAGGGCATATGCACAAAATACGCGGAGATGAATGGAAATTCGGTGAAAAGATTTTTTAAATTCTCTTTTTAGATCTCGCTCTATGGCACTTGCTTTGTAAAGAGCTTGCAGTCAACGTCGGCGCTAAGATTTTAATCACGGCGAACAACCGCCTGCCTCTAGGGGGCCTCGCTAATTGACTAGTTTGTGAGATTGCGTGAATATTCGCACAGAGCGGTCTCGGATGTGGATTTTGTATGGAGATGAGTTAATTGTAGGAGTTTTACTGTAAAGATCACGTTTTGAGACTATGAGCACATTTATTTCGAAGTATTTTTCTCAAAATAATGCACCTCTTAAGATCCATTTTTCTTATGCATCCTACCCCTTTCTACTTATAAATTAGAAATGTTTTTGAAAGAAAGAAAAGAATTGCCGAGATAAACGTGTTTTCTAAAAAAAA